GAAACTACTATAACGGGGTTAGATAGGGGCACATTACATTGGGGATCTGGATGGGATAAAAGGGATCGTTGTGGGATTCTATTGTATTTTGAAAGACGGTACTCCGTCTGCGGTTCTGACTGGCTATAGTGCCCCAGGAGAGATAGTGAAGATAACGAACTCTGAAAGCCCAGATGCCTGCATGCTGAGGTACTGTTTCCTTGTCCTTGTATGAAGCAGTACTGTCAGTGGAGGAATGTTGCGCCACGTAATGGCCCTGCCCCTGCAGTACAATAATGAATTCCTAGTTTAGGTGTAGGGTTCAGGTAAGGTATTATTGGGTGGTGCCAGATTCTCTCCATCCAAATCACTGCCCACCAGCCAGCACCTACGATATGCTACCGGGCTTCCTAACAAGCTGATGCGCTTAAATTTCAGGGTTCAGGGCTTTAGATTTTTTACCGTTGCTTAGGGTTCGGGCGCTTGATTTCTGAGCTGAACATTTTGATATTTTGGATTTAAGGAAATTTGGCAACCCCAAGTAATGGTAAGCTTACATGGGCTTGAGAGTTTAGGGTAGGGCCTAAGGCTTGAATCCTGATCTGCGCACTTGACACCTGAAGTCCTACACCTTAAGAGCACCTTAATCCCTAACCCAGACCCGTGATTAATAAACCCCCTCCCCTTAACAGGGATTATAACTGGGATCCTAATATTTGGGCCTTAAAAGGAAGGAGGTTGATTAATCATGGGTCTACATTAACCTCAATGCCCAAGCCCTTAAATCTTAGCCCTTCCTCATCAAATCCCTGAACGTACTCCTAAATGGTCAGCAGAGAATGGGGCAACGCCTTAAATCTCAGCCCTTTCTCATCAAATCCCTGAACCTACTCACCTGCAAAAACACAGCATCTGGATACCAAATCTAACAGGATCCCGAGGTCTCCTGCGTCTTCGTCGCACGAGCAAGCCACACCGCTGTAGGGGACTTGTCCAAGGTATGAGCACCGTACACAACGAGTCCCTTCTCACGGAAAGCCACTGCATGCATGTACTGGGGATCACCTCGGATACACAAAGCAAATGTAGCGGCAACACAGCAGCAACTACATGCGCACCAACAGCAAGTACAGTGTTTCACGGTGCCTGCAACTCCCGGCCAGAAAGCTCGCAGCAGAAGTAACCACTCATGCTAGAGTTCACGAACAAAGGGGCAGTAGGCACCTTCTCATGAAGTCGACACTCCACAGGGGGCCCAGCTCGCGAGACAGCCTGCTGTCACCCGTCAGCAGCATACAACATCACACTCGCTGCCCACGCGCGCGGCACCTGCAGTCCTCGATCCTGTCGTTCAGTTGCACGACCTCCTCAATCTCGCTGACGTAAGGGATAAGGTCCAGAGCTCCCAGGCTACGCCGCGGGGCCTTCACCTAACAGCGGTGAACAACGCCGAATAAGCAGTGCTCGAATCTACAGTAGTACAAGTACAATCGCTTTATTCTACGAGTTGTCACTTCCTCACGGCACACCTTCCTGTAACGCGCGAAGTCGTAGTCACCAGCCATGTCCGCATCTGCCAGACCACATAATGTTATGAACATCAATTGAACAACAAAAGCTGGACCAGAAATAGTCGCATCCAATCACAGGCCTCCGACGCGACGAGCCACATATACTGGCGCCGCTTCCTCCACTTCACACACTGTTCTCATCTACAGTCTTGCGCGTGTCCCCAAAATAGCATTAGCTTGCACTCCATACACACAACAACGTCCATTTAATGATCACTCCGTGACATCTCAAACGACGGTCCCGACCTCCCACCATCCACCGACACCTACTACTGTTTGAAGCGATGGTCAAGTCGTGTGTGTGATAACATTTGCGCTAGCCGCCCTACCTTCAAAGCACCACTACCAGCAAGTCCAACAACGCATCGGCGCCCCTCGTGCACTCGCTTCCATTAGCTACAATTACCACACTCAACCCGTTCACTTTTTTTCCCGTGCAAATGTTGGTCGGACGTTGCCAAGCTTGCACATGTAATGCAACAACGACACATGACGCACTGATCCCCAACTTCGGAGTCCACAGACAGAACTCAATGTGAGTGCAACGACGGTCCTCATCAGCCACATCCCACTGGTCTTCCTGCACCGCAAGCCAACACAAGACAGTGCAGAACATGAGTAGAACCAATGCAGCACGTGTGTTGCTTCCTTGCATATGCGAACATGGCATCGTCAACCACACCAGCTTGATCAGTCTGCAGGAAAGGAAGCAACGCCACGAACTAACTAGTCACTGGCTTAGCCTGCTCAACGAAGCAAGGTTATCTTGCTGCCACTCGAACACAGCCCCGGCTATCAAGCGCTTTCCAGCAGCTCGGATTTAAGAAAAGTACACGAAGTTTATTGCTAAAATGCTATGATGAAAGACACGTTAACACAAGACCACGCCATGACAGTGGCAACAGACAAATATTCGCAGCACCTCTCAGCCGTCTGTGTAGGTAGCCCCGCCTGCAGCTTCAGCCTCTCTGACTCCCACACGAACAAGTCCATTTTGGACAGCAGGCTCTGCTGCTCAGCAAGGGGGAGCGCAACAACTGCTGGACGGTTTTGTACACCGCCTGGTTTTAAGGCATACAAGGAAAGAATTATTGCTCAAGTACAGTTAGATTGTGCACTCATGCTAGACCCCCACCTTGCCTGCCAAACTGTGGCCTACCTGTCGCCGCGTAGCACGGCATTGAGCTCCGCGTTGTGCAGGCGCTTCATGCCCGACAGGAGCCCTTTTTTACACGGCCCTGCCAGGCCAGGCTGCAACAGCCGCTGCAAGAACGCCGGTGTCAAAGTCACCGTCCTTGCGCACTCTGGACAGGAAGACTAGCACTAGCACCCGCATTCCCCTCAAATGGTCAGTAGAGAATGGGGCAGTGGATTCAATGATGTATGGGTACTACCCCTTAACCCTAAATCCTAAACCCCGAACGGTAACCCCTAAACCCTAAATCAAAATCCTAAAGCCCTAGACCCTAAAACCCCAACCCCCATTCTCTACTCATCACCGGGCCGGCCAACCTGGTCGAACACTGCAAACCTGAGCCCGTATACCGCCTACCTGGACCCCTACCTTGAGTAAAAAACTTGCGCAAAACACGTGTAAGGTTTAGGGTTTTGGGTTTAGAGTTTAGGGTGTAGGGTTCAGGCTTCAGGGTCTAGGGTTTTTGGATCAAAAAAGCCGCATTTTTACATACCTTGAGCTTCAAGCAAGCCCTAACTGCCTAAATTTTGACTTGAGTCCCCCCCCCAGCCCCAAGCCCTAAACTCTAAATTGCAAAAAAAAAACCTAAGCCCTTAACCCTAAACCCTAAGCCTACACCAGTACACCTCCTGGCCGGAAAGCTTCCGAATGGAAAGCGCCATGCACGCAACACGTAGAAACGCCCTTGCTCTTGGGATTGCGCCCTTATGTGCCTAGAGTTTAGGGTTTAGGGGTTTAGGGTTTATGTTATGCGCCTTTAAAGAACTATAGAAGTGTTTAGGGGTATATAGGGGTATATGGGGGAGCTGCTGATGGAGCCCCTGAACCCTAGTCCCACAAGCAGTCCTACGATGTCTTGAGGGTTTGAGGTTTAGGGTAACCCCCAACCACCCTCAACCCTAAAATCTAAAAGGCCAATGAACACCCATAAAGCATGTGAACCCTGTAAGCACTGCAATCCTGTAAGTCCTGGAAACCTTATGAACCAAATTGGCACCTAAACCCTAATCCTAAACACTACACCCAAAACTACAAATTCTTTAAATGTAAATCGGGATTCTTTGCCCCGACCTTGAGGCGGCCAAGCAACTGCTCTTTGTAGGTCTTTCAGGGCTTAGGGGCTTAAGGTTCAGGGTTTAGGATTTATGGTTTTTAGGGTTGCTAGGGTGTTTATGTTAAGAGCTTTGGGTTTCGGATCTAAAGTGGCGCGGCTCAAGGTTCAAGATCCAGGGTTCGGGTCTTGTTGGAGTTTGCGTCTTGAGGTTTAAGGCAAGGGGTTCAGTTGATGGAAATCTGGCTCTCATGCATTTTTTGGGGGTATCTATGATAAGTACGGGAAAGTATAATTGAACAAGCTATAATAACAAGGACTGAATATTATCAAGTACTTCTCCTACCTACAAATATGTGCCATGTTTGCCACCTTGGGAAACCTAAGACTTACCTGCTGAGTTCCCCCGGCCCAAAACAGGTTAACCTTGCGACTGACGTGGGCTTACATCAAGGTTTAGGGTTTAGGGTGTATAGGCTTAGGTGTACCCCGAAACAGACTACCCACTCACTAAGTGCGGTAGGATCTCTTGAAGATTCCCTATTTTCCCCTATCATCGTGAATGTGCCCCTGGAAAAGAGATTTTATAAAACCCTAAACCCTGAACCCTAAACCCTAAGCCTTAAAACCTGAGCCTTGGAGACTGAGCTACGACAGACTTTTACTTCCTGGTGCTTAAGGGGGAGTGGGGGAGTGAATATAGGACATTATAAGTATATATGAGGATTATAAACCCTAAGCCCTAAACCCCTAAACCCGCAAAACCCTAAACCCAAAAATCATCAACCGAAGGCAGGTTGACTGATCTGGCTTCTGCGGATTCATTTCAAGCTGAACAAGATGACTTCGCAGCCTGCACCCGAAGTCCTAAAAAACGAAGCTGAATGCTGAACCCCAAAAAAACCTGAATTGGACAACCCTGATTAAGACCCTCTGCCCTGAATCCTTTAAAGCCTAAATCCTGAACCCCAAAGCGCCCTACACCCTAAATCCTAAATGCCCCACATTCCCAAATCCTAAATCCCCAGCTCTAAATCCTAAACCCTAAGGCCAGAAGCCCTATTGTTGATACTAGAAATCCTGCATGACCTTAGTATACCACAGTACCATAATAATTTCCAAGGTTTAGGACACTTAGGGTCATGCAGGCCCTAAAACCCTAAACCGCGTCCACCATAGCATCCGTTCTTTCCCCTGTTTTGGTTCACTGTCTCGGGCGCTTTGGCTGAGGTTCCTCAACCCCCGGCGTCTGCGAAGTGCCAGCCGCCTGCTGGCGGGACGTCGGGGTGTAGGGTTCAGTGCTTTAGGACTTTAGGGTTTCGGATTTAGGGTTCAAGGTTTAGGATTTAGGGTTAGGGGCCGAAGGTTCGGGGCATTGGGGCTTAAAAGAGTATGGCTTAGGACTTGAACAGTCAAGAAATTTTCCCTAAACCCTAAACACTGTCCAAAAAACCCTGTGTAGATTACGTACTGCATGGTGCTCATAATGCAGAGACCATCAGGCGTAGGTTTAGGGTTTAGGGCTTGGGGTTTAGGGCTTGGGGTTTTATGGTATAGGATTTATAGGGTTTGGGGTTTAGGGTTGGGAATTTGGAGTTTAGAGTTTAGGGTTTGGGGTTTAGGGTTTGGGGTTTAGGGTTAAGGGTTTAGGGTTAAGGGTTTGGGGTTAAGGGTGTAGAGTTTGGGGTTTAGGGAACGGCTAAGGAATATAGGAACCCATCCTGCTACTAACCACCGGAAGGACCTAGGAATTGATTGCAAGCTGTCCTGCGTGCTAACCCTCAACCCTACACCCTAAACCCTAAGCCCTCAATTCTCAACCCCAAGCCCTCAAGCCTAAACCCGGAACCCTAAGCCCTCAACTCTGAACCCTATACCCTCAACCCTACCAACCCTAAACCCTAGACTTGCACAACAACATCAACTTCAAATTCTGAGCCCTACCTGCGAACCGCAAAACCTCTTCATCGGTCCTCAACCTCCGACACTTGGTGGTGTCAATACCTGGACTCCCCCAACAAATTGTAGAATGATGGCCTCTTTGACCATATTTAGAGATTTTGGGCCATTACTTTACCTACGTTTGGGGGGATCAAATACGGCATGGAGGAACGGATCCACAAGTCCCTAGAATAATTCTCATACCGTCCGGCACACTTTTCCCCTATAGCCCAGTTCTTCTTCCCCCTAGACCCTAAAACCTTTACCCTACACCCTTTTTGGTTTTATAGGGCTTACAGTAATGTTGTAAGCATTTTCCATGCTCTGGTTGATTCCAGCATTCTTCACTAAATGGAGCCGCCCGGCGGTGGTTAATCGGGGCTGCCTTTCTTTTAGAGGTTGCGATTTTGGCAAGGGTCATATCACCGTCTGGGGGACTCTTTATTGGGACTGCTGTCAAGGAGCCTAAACTCATTGCCGTATAACGCTCACGAGAAAACTTCTTTTGGCTGGTACCTTAAAGCCCCCCACCTAGTTATTTATGAATAGATCCCCATCATATACCACGATGGGTGACAAATTATCCATTTTCCTGAAGTTCGATTTCCATATGAGCTATGTAGTCTGAATTCCTAGTATCCCGCTTGATAGGCCCTCTAATGCTCCCCAATTTTTCCCGTAGATAACCCCTTTTAAGCAGTTTAGACTCTAAACCCTAAACCCTATATAACTCCCTTTAAGCAGTTTAGACTACAGCTCATATTCTGGCAAGTTGACCAAAGTTCCAGAACAGCAACACCAAAAGATCGGAGCCGACATCCTGCGCATGTGACCCATGAAATGCAAAGCCAACGCTAAGTTGGTGAGCGATTTAGGGTTTAAGTCTTAGGGTTTCAGTTTTACGGTTCAGGGTTTAGGGTTTAGGATTTAGGGTTTTATGTCTTAGGTTTGGGCTTTCTCAAATGGGCTTTGGGGCTTAGCTTTGTTGCATGGATGGGTATGCTCTTGGTGTTTTTTGGGAGGGAAATTTTCATTCCTGGCAAGTACTAAGGGGTTCAGGGGCTTGAGGCGTTTCACCCATGTAGCCAAATGCACCAACAAGTCTGCTTGAAGCATTGCAACCGTAAACCTCGAACCCTACACAAACAATGACATGAGCTCAAATGGCTTACCCAATCTAGGAAGGGCAGAATGGATCCTCAAGTAGGCCTGACAGGTTCGCATGAAATGTCCCAACTTCCTGTATGGTTTAGGGTTTAGGGTTCGGGGATTAGGGTTCAGGGTTTAGGGTTTAGTGTTCCGGGTTCAGGGCTTATAGTTTAGGGTAGATTCACTGATCTTTCAAGTTAGGGAGCCATCTGCCTCGCCGATGGCAGCTCCGGCTTCCGTCAAAAGGCGCACCACCTCGTCGTGCCCTGGGCGCAGAAACCTACCCATTTCCAAAGCATCATAATGATGTAGGGTTTCGTGTGCAAGGTTTATGGACGTTACTCTCCCCGTTCTTGGGAATCAATAGAAAGGCAAAAGTGCAAAATGACATGGAAATTGTCGTTTTTGATTGGGAAAAACAAGGGCCTGAACAACACTTTGAGGTCTCGAGGTACCCATATCATAATTATACAAGGGATCTAGGACCATAATCTTGGGATTCATTTCAGCTTCTGCATTAGGTTCGGAAAAGGGCTATGAAGACTTTTGTCCTTTTGACGCGCACCTATAGCGGGTTCCATGTTAGTTTGATGGAAAGTGAACAGAAGATCGCGCTTTCTATTCAACCAAGTCCAGGCGTAAACCCTAAACCGTAAACCAGTCAGGAGGGGGTCATGATGAACACATGAGCAAGCTTCCCTTCCTTGAGCTTCAGCAGACCCTCGTAAGCACCCTAACCCAGACCCATGATTAATAAACCTCCTCCCCTTAATAGGGATGATAATAGGGATCCTAATATTAAGGCCCTCTAAAAGAATGGGTTCATTAATCAGGGGTCCACATTACACCAGAAAACCGGAAGGGAAGCCCACTTGAAACCAACCCTTGCCATCAGCCCTTGGTGAAAGAACCGAACCGTCAACGCCCAACTACTCTCCGATCTGGGTTGCTGTAAAGCAACTTGGATAAAGTTAACGTTTAGGGTTTTAGGGTTGGGCGGTTTAGCAAGGAAACCCTAATTCCTACTGTATACTCATCTTATGGTAACTTGCTTTAAGTTCTTGAATAAAAGATCAACCCAGAACTACGGTCTGCCGGTTCCTTGGGCTCTGCAGCGGGTACGTGGGAAAGCTGCTGTTGAGTTCCCTTGAAAAACGTTCGTAATAATACGATTCATAACATTTATAAGAATGGTATTGGTACTAATGACAATATTAATAATGATAATAACCAGTATAATGAGAACAAAGTAATAAGAGTAACAATGATAATCAAGTCATGTAAGCCCCACCAGGTTAAATGTTACCCTACTCTAAGAGGCTTCACCCTAAACCCTAAACTCTCAACCGTGAACCCTGAACCCCAAACTCTAGACCCCAAACCCTGAACCCTAAACCCCAAACCTTAAACCCTACCGAGGGCTTAGACTTTCGGAAGGGACGCTAGCTTGCTTGGAACCCCTGGTGCTAGCCTCTGTCGCCGCTGTGCAGACTACCCTTCCCAAGTTGAAATGGAGCCCTATACAGTAATTAGGTCTTGCTGTGGTTCAAAGGGTAATAGTCTACAAAGAGCCCCTTGTCAGGTTCCATGTTAGTTTGGGGGATGAATTCCGTTCACCGTTTAGGTGTATGAGCCAGTGTGGGGTAACCCGAACTAACATAGGAATGACCCCAAAACAGTCATAGGATAGGATAGTCATTCGTTCCTGATTGGGAGTTGCCGTAACACAAGGCTGGAAGTGTTCCCCCTGAACACGTCAGGGATCGCTTAGATGGCCTGGAAATGCGCTAAATGGTTCGTAGCCTTGAATGTAACCATACTTACTGACAAATGTCCTGCCTTTATTAGCCCCATATATAGTCATCCTTGAGCAGATAGAATTAAATCTTTGGGGGGGTGATTTTTTTTGAAAACCGGGATTTTGCAGAACGATAGATAGAATATTCCACGAGACGTTTTACCAGGATGAAGAAGCCAATCTTAAAGGGAAGCTAACCAATTCTATTCAATTTGAAAAAGAATCTGACAATTTCTATCTAATTCCAAAATGGAATCTGATCATTTCTATGCAAGTTTAAAGGAAATCTGACCATTTCTTACAATTTTA